GTGATCCTGCTATTTCACAGATTTTTGCTGTCCAGTTTACTATTGGGGGAAAATGACTATATCTCAGGAATTGGAGTAATTTTTTATGATAATTTTTTTATGGGTTTTTGACTACTTTTAATGTTATGATAAGCGTTTAATAAGCATTTTTTACTCTAAGCTATTAATGAAAACATTACATGTCTCCTGATGGAATGCATTATTCAGCAGTGGACAAGGAATTCAAGTTAGCTAAGCTGCTAGGAAGAGAAGGCTTCCATGACATGATGTACGATGATGCATAATGACCTCATACATAAACTTTCAGATCCTCTAACAAACAAGAATTTGATTGAATTTTAATTTAACATTTGTGAAGGTAGTAAGAGTCAGAATTCTGAGATTAAAGTCACAATTCCAAAAATAAAATCAGAAATATGAGAAAAAAATCTGATTTCTGAGATTAAAGGGGAACTTGGCAGTTTTGGCTTGCTTTTAGCACCCCCTAGTGTCTGTTTCTGTTTGTAGAATCGAAAGCAAAATGTTTCTCCTTGTTGTTCATTTGTCTTTTTAACACCTTAATCTAACAGCTAAAGTGTCTCCCCAGCCTTCTTTAGTGAGAGAGAGAATTCTGACATTAAAGTCAGATTTTTGTATTTTTTCAGTGGTCCTAATCTTTGTCTGTAGAATTGTGTTTTGGAGCAGGTAAACACTAAAACACTTTGGATAGGGGCCCCTATAAGTCTGATGGCCCTCACACACTAGCATCGGCTCCACTCCGCCTGGACCTGGATGGATCCAAGGACGATGTTTTGCCAACAGAAAGTATTGATTCCAGTCCTAAACCTCCTGAGACCCTGCGTGCGCATTTTGGACAGGACATTGGCTTCTTCCGCTATGTAACGATCGGGGGTCTCTCACACCACTGATGGTAGCGTGAGAGTGTAGCGTGGTTGGAGAACCCAGAAGCAGAAGAACAATCGGCGGGGGCTGCTGCCACGCAGTTAATCTAGGAGCAACGGCGCCGAACCCGAGTGTGAACGGGAACGCGGCGTTGTTCCGAAAAGTAAGGGATTGACTTAAGGGCTGAGACGAAATACCTGAAGAGCTGGGAGGTTCCACTAAACAGCTGGAAAGCTGGAGGGATGAGCTGGGTAGCTCGGATCTCTGACATTGATTCCTGAATAGATGACTGAGTGAGTCTGTGGTTTGTACTTCCTGCTTTTATCAGTGACGGTGATGATGCAGGAGGAAATGCGGTGAGAGGCGGATGATGGAAAAGGAAGGTCTAGGCTGAGGATTTTTAGATGGAGAGCTGAGTGGATGATGAAGACGGAGAGGATGCGACACGCTATATTTTATTCTCTTCAACTTGGACCATTTTTTTATTGTTTAGAGACACTTTATGTTGACTTAAAGTAATAAAAAAATATCTTTTTCTTTCTTTTACTTAATTGTTTTTTTTAGTAAATTTGTCACCATTTTTATTAGATTTGATTTTTACATCACACCAGATAGAAATTTGGTTGTCAAGAGGTTCAATGCAAATTTGGCAGAAATGTTGCACAATGAACAGGATGAGTTTTTAATTACTGGCACCAGGTGTTTTTACTCAGACTTGTAAGATTCTAACAATTTTTTGTGTTGCTAAGAAAATATCTATACAAATAATTAATTATAATACTAATTTTTGCTTTGAGGATGCTGATGGAGAAGTACAGAGAAGTTCAGAGGGGTTTCATTATTTAGAAAGTTACGACATGGTGCAGAGAGAGAAGCTGTGGTGTTTCTTTTTTTCTCCTTTTATTCTTTTTTTCTGTGGAGACGTGGTGTTTCATTAGGAGGTCTAGCGTAGTGCAGGACATGTATGAGAGCTGTGAGAAAGCAGTAAGGTGTGCTGTAGGAGTGACAGAGGAGTTCAAGGTGGAGGTGGAGGTGGGAGTGCATCAAGGATCGGCTCTGAGCCCCTTCTTGTTAGCTATGGTCATGGACAGACTGATAGATGATGTTAGACAGGAGTCTATATGGATTATGATGTTTGCAGATGACATAATGATCTTCAGTGAGAGCAGGGTGCAGGTAGAGGAGAAGGCAGAGAAGTGGAGATATTTACTGGAAAAGGTTAGTCACAGTGAGACAGAATGCATGTTTGTAAACGAGAGGGACACAAGCCGAACGGTGATGTTAGAGGGAGTAGGAGTAAAGAAGCTAGAGGACAATGCAACAGAGGATGGAAATAAGGTGAAGTGTGTGAAGCACGTTGGAATGTGTGGAGAAAAGTGTCAGGTATGATGTGTGGTAAATGGGTTTCAGCAAGATTGAAGGGAAAGGTGTAGAAGACCGTAAGTAGTGAGACCAGCCGCATTGTCTGGTTTAGAGACGGTGTCCACGTGGAAAAGACAGGAGGCAGAACTGGAGGTTGCAGAGCTCAAGATGTTGAGGTTCCCATTGGGAGATACAAGGATGGCCAGGATCAGGAATGAGTCAATCAAAGGGACAGCTCATGGTAGATGTAGGGGTAGACCGATACTTACCGTAATTTATACATCGGCTGATATTTGTCCTTAGTCAAGCCGATTTAAAATCAGGCATATCCTCAGGCAGCCCAATGTTGCAAACTTTTATTTAAATGGTAAATGGCCTGTATTTGATATAGCACCTTCTAGAGTCCTGGAACCCTCAAGGTGCTTTAAAACACATTTAGTCAATCATCCATTCACACGCTGGTGGTGATGAGCTGTAGCCACAGCTGCCCTGGGGCGCACTGACAGAGGCGAGTCTGCCGAGCACAGGCGCCACCGGTCCCTCCGACCACCACCAGCAGGCAAGGTGGGTTAAGTGTCTTGCTCAAGGACACAACGGAATTTTACAATTTCAGAATTGTATGCATTAATTGATGTTATTAGTGACACTTTAGCATAATAATAAGGTGGAAAATGTCTAGAAATGGAGATATGGTAATTGGCCCATGAAAATCAGCAATACATATCGGCTGACCATGTCTCCGGTATCTGAAATAGGAAAACCAGTATTGGTCGACCTCATGTTAGATGTTTCAGAGATAAAGTCAGAGAGGTCACACTGAGATGGTTTGGTCATGTCCAGAGGACAAACGGCGCTAACGTAGGAAGAAGGATGCTTAGGTCGGAGCCACCAGGCAGGAGGCTGAGAGGAGCACCAAAAGGGAGATTTATGGATGCGGTGAAAGTATCAGCTGATTTGATCTGTTAGAAGAAGGAAACATAGCCATTTGAGATGGTTGGGAAAAGTTATAGGAAGCCCTCCTGGGGAGCTCCTTTCAGAGACCCATCAGGCATGACCAGCTGGTCAAGGCCCTGAAGCTGACCCAAGACTTGCTGGAGGGGTCAAGACCCCCCAGCTGGAAGAGGGATCTGGGAATATGTGCATCTTTACTCCACTAACATGACCCTGAAATTGACCGTCTGACATCAGATAATGGATGAGATTAGTCACATGATAAAACTGAACTCAACAGCAGAGGCTGAACTTCATTTATTTAAAGGGACATTATGGAAGTTTGACAGCCAAAACATGTATAGAAATAATAAATCTCTTCTTCATACATTCTCCTGCAATGCCCTGGTCCTGTAGAATGAGCCCTGGCATTTTTACTGTGATTGCCTGTTTTTCTTTAAAGTCACAGAAAAAGAGAGATGCTCGTCGAGCAGGCTGCTTCATGCGCGTTCACGCTCAGGCATAGCCTGAGCATTTGCTATCAGTAGCTTTAGCAGCAGAGAGAGAGGCAGTGCCACTTTGTCGCTGTTCCTAACGCCTAGTGACAAAGCTAGCTACATTTCTGAGGAACCTTAACTACTTTGTGTAGAACTTTCTTCTAGATATTTCCTGCAAATTAGCAACAAAATAGTCATTTTCGCTTCCAACCGTTCTTTGGTTTGACGTTGTTTCAGGTGTCATCAAGGATATAAAAGATACAGATGCTGTGAATGTTACTAGAGTGTAGCTCACCTTGTAAGATGTCTGACTCCCATGCAGAAGACCTGGGTTTGATTCTGGGTGTGAACATAGTTTATTTAGAGTTTCTTTTTTACATTAATGGTATATTTTTTTACAGTAAGACGCCCAAATTTTATTTGAGACTCGCCGAATGGCATTGAATTCACAGATAAAAAAGATGTGGGTTCAACTTTCATTTTGGAACAATTTTTCAAGCAAGGGAAGGGAATGATCTGAGTATGCAGGAGGACTGACCCATCTTAAACCTTTGTCGGCTGTGCTGAAGAGAAAGGTACAGAACCACATTATTTAATTAATTAGCTGCGCGTTCTCCTGTCCTCTGTCCTCCGGGCCACACACACACACGGGACTGTCTCAGCTGTTATTTTCGTTAAGGAGTGTGCACGTACAGCATGCACGCCTCGTGCACGAGCCTACTATTGAAGCTGCCATTACGCTTTTGGCCTGAGGGGGCAATCACGAGCATAAAAATTTAAAAGTCCGTAAAGTCCCTTTAATACTCACATACAGGTGAAACTGGAGAAATTAGAATATGGTGCGAAAGTTCATTTATGTCAGTAATTCAACTAAAAGGTCAAATTAAAATATATAAGATAGATTTATTACAAGCTAAGCCAGATAATTCCGGTCTTTATTTGTTATAATTGTGATGATTATGGCTTACAGCTGATGAAAACCTCACATTCAAAATCTCAGACTAGAATATTGTAAAAAGGTTTAATATTAAGTGTCATACTCTAATCAGCTAATGAATCTAGAAAACCGGCAAACAGTTCCTGAGCCTTTAGATGGTCTTGCAGTCTAAGTTAATTACTGACATAAATGGACTTTGGCACCATGTTCTTATTTTTCCAGTTTCATCTGTATTCATTGTTTTGTTTTCGCCTTCATGTGACAGTTCCTTCCACGTTTGAAGACAAATCTGAAAATAACATATTTAAAAAAAATAATTTTTTATCTTTTATAAGAAAAGTGTCATAATAGCAATTCAATTAAAAGACTTGTGTCTTTTCTGATCCCCCCAGCGGTCGTGTGAAACCGCTGCTCGGCCGGTTCAGCGAGCTCGAGACCCTGCTGTCTAACGTGAACATTAAGCCAGGCAGCATTGATGCCATCCTGTTGGATGCTGGATGTTCCTCCATGCAGATGGATCAGGCGGAGAGAGGCTTCTCCCTCAGCAAGGATGGGCCCTTGGATATGAGGATGGATGGGGAGAGGTAAGTACTGATGTTGTCGTGTTGGGAGCTGCTGGAGTATCAGATACACTGACACCTTGAAATTGTTTGAGTGCTCACTGGTGCATTAAGATCAAAGGGAAGCTAATAAAACAAAAGAGGTTGTAAGAATCAGATAACAGCAGCGTGTGCTGCACTCACTTTATATATGCAGGTTTCTCCTGTCGTTCCTCATGAAGTCAAACTGTGTGATAGTGAATGCAGCTCTAAATGGATCTAGTTTCACAATACGGACTGGGAATTTAACTCCTTATTGGTTCTAAATTAAACAGGCCAACATGTGCTTACTGCTTGGTGGGTCCCCCCACCAGTTCAGGAGCTGGTACCTCTGGTAGTCAGACAGAAAGCACTGAGTTCCAGCTATTTGGTCAAGAGCATCTAGAACAGTGGTGCCCAGTCCTGGTCCTGGAGGGCCAGTATCCGTGTTTTAGTTCCTCCAGGACCAGGACTGGGTACCCCTGATCTAGAAAATACTGGGGCACAAATAAATCTGATTAAAGGCCATTAGGACAGTTTTATTCATCAAAAAAAGATAAAGATTTTTTTTGTTTTAATAATGATAAAATCCAGGCCAGTCTATAAAGCTAAACTTAAAGTGGCAGTGTGTAGTTTCCTGGTGCTAGGGGGCAGTACGTACATACATTTCAGGGTAGTTTTACACCATAGCACTGTGACTGTCGCTAGTTAAAAAATTATTATGGTAAAAGTTGTTACCTGTGGAGCAGAAAGCACGCAACCTCAGTGTGACTCCTCAGACTTTGATGGTCCTTCAGGTAATTCCATCAAGAGAATTCAACGCCAATGGTTTTCTGGTGCTGCTCAAGGTCCTGCGCCTACCGATGACGTCACACTACGGCAACACCACTCAGCCAAAATATGTTTAATTTATTTTTCGATTAATTTCTTTCACATCAGCTTTGGAAAGTGGTTAGCAGTTTAGCTAAGTCATGTTTCTTACCGCCTAAATGTTTTCTTTATAACTGTAAAGAATGTGAAACTACATAACAGCAACATCAGACCGCGCCCTGAAAGCACAACCGTTTGTCTTGATGTGGAATTCTTCTGTATTCTTCATTGGTTCCTATTCACTCATTCGTTCATTTAAAATGTATATCTGTAATTTGTTCAATAAAGTTCTTTTAAATTTTGCCCCATTTCATCAAAATCCGAGCTGCTCAGGGTCTTCGTTTATCAACTGATAATTTAGATTTTATTTTACATTTCCTTTGGCAATATAAACCTTTAAAATATAAACTCATACAGTTGCACTTTTGTCTGGACCAATCAAAATCTTTTGTGTCAACATGCTAACGATATTTAAGAACGTGGTGTGACGTCATCAGAAGGCACAGGACCTCAAGCCGGCTCATATAATACATGGCGTCTAATGTGGTGTCCCCCAGAGACTTAGACCAGTGCCCTATGTATTTTAGACCTGATTTGTATGGTTATATTTTACGAAGTGCCGATTTCTTTAACCCTCCCACTGTCCTAATGGGTGTGACCCCACGAGGAAAGTTGACCATTGAGCAGGGTTGATGGTTTATCCCTTGAGGTCCACATGACAGGAGTGAGGAGTGAGCACCACCTCACCCCTGCCATGTGGACCTCAAGGGATAAACCATCAACCCTGCTCAATGGTCAACTTTCCTCGTGGGGTCACCCATTAGGACAGTGGGAGGGTTAAACGACTGGACATCATTTTACTAATTTTCAACAACATTTTGATGAGGTTAAAGGTAAAAATTACACATTGTCACTTTAAAACAAACACTTTTATTTTCACCTTGAAATGCCTGAAGTTCACCTAATGCTCAAATAGATAGAAATGACGAGTGAGTGATTCATCTGGAATTTGTGGCATGGTGATTTTCTAACAACGCACCCAAAATAAAATCTTCCTTTAATAAATAAAAATCATGGACAGCTCAGACAGGAGCGGCTTTTCTTACCTTTGCTGCAGGAATTACATCAATATTCTTATAAAGAAGATGGACGGCTCTGCCATGACATCATCAATTTGTCATTGGCTCTTGTTCTGGTTTTACAGTCAACTGAATTTCCCTCTTTGAGCCATTTGAGGGGAACTTTAAAACAAGCCAGCGAGTGTCCTTTCCTCTTTTTCTCTGTAGCAAAGAAAGAAGAGTGAAGCAACGTTACGGGGTCTCACAGGGACACTACAGACGTTTTTACATAAGCACTTTAGCCTTGACATTTTCTAGACATGTACTGCGGACGCTGCATGACTTTTTGCAGAGTTAACCCAGCCTGCTCCCCAGCAATAACTCCAGAAAACAATAGAATGAATCTGTGTGTCTTCATCGAGTGAAAGGCCACACAGAAACAGATTTATACTCCCGGTTTTCTGACTATATGGATCATATGAGGTAATGATAGAAACAGAAAACCAGTTCTTAAGATGTTTTCAGATGCACATCAGCATAGTTTGTGAACGACGCCCTTCTGTGCACTCAAACCAAACCTCCACCTTTGGGTATCTCCAGCAGCGAGAATGCATCCTACATAGGGCAGCTCCTGCTGGGAAATAGATGAGTGAACAAACAAACAACTGCAGGGAAAGTCCTGATTCTCTACACATCCTGGGCTGGGCGATATCTCAATATCTTTAAAATATCTATATCATTTCATACAAGAAACAAGCGGAGGCAGTAACATTTATACATACAACTAGTGTATTTCTGGAGTTAGCAGATGCAGCTAGATGCTAGCTTGCTCCGGCTCGAAGCCGTTGCTACATTCTTACGTGTCTGCTCAATCAGGAAACTTCGGGGTCAGTGTTCTGCCCTAAACTTAGCATTTGGCTTTGTGTTTTTTATTACTTGGGCACGTTTATTTGTGTTTTAGCTAGCCTTTTCACCGTGGCAGTTGACGGAGATTTGTTTATCCTGTTTGTGTGGAGAGACAAGCCAATCCCCTCCCCTGCGTAATCTGGAAATGCGTACGGAGCACTGCAGTGGCCAAAATACTTCAGAAGCTGAATGAGTCCGTACTGTGAGATTCCAGTCGTGTTTGCTTTTATGGCTTTAATAGCTCTGCGCTGCATGACTCGCGCGAGTGTAGTCCACTGGTAGTCAATGTAATTACGCCATAAAATTAGCTTGATCTGACAGATTTTTTTCCTTCTGTGCACGAAATAATGAATGGCAGTTTTGTGAATGCAAGGACTCGAGCCAGCCCTCGATGAAATTGGGATTATTTCACATGAATTATAAATATATTAGAAAGAAAGTGCCTGTGGGATATTTGAGACACGCAACTCTAACACTAAACCAGATAGATAGATAGATAGATAGATAGATAGATAGATAGATAGATAGATAGATAGATAGATAGATAGATAGATAGATAGATAGATAGATAGATAGATAGATAGATAGATAGATAGATAGATAGATAGATAGATAGATAGATAGATAGATAGATAGATAGATAGATAGATAGATAGATAGATAGATAGATAGATAGATAGATAGATAGATAGTTCAGTTTACATTAAAAACAGTTACAAAAACAGGGTAAAAAGGTACCAAAACACATAAAACTAAAAACCTACCAGTGTTTCTAAAGCCCAGACAGGCACTTGGGTTAATGTTTGATAAGAATAAATACATTTTAATGCATTAAATCTGCAGATGATTTTATGTATACAATTTTTCTAGACAGCTTCAATGGAGTTAAAGGGAGCTAGGCAGTTTTGGCTTGCTTTTAGCACCCCCGAGTGTCCGTTTATAGAAACGAAAACAAAACCTATCTCCTCGCTGTGCGTTTGTCTTTTTAACACCTGAATCTAACAGCTGAAGTGTCTCCCAGCCTTCCTTAGTGTCTACAGGAGTGATTCATCACTAAATTAAACAAATCAGCTGTTTTCATGATTTAAAACATGCAGGAAACATGCTGGAAGCAGACTGCAGTGCCAGGTTACCAGACTGGCAATTCTAAAGCTGCAAGTGGAATATTCTGGCCACAGGTGCCGACAGAGGTTGGGTGGCTTTTCATCAACCATGTAAAAAGTCATTTTAGCACATACTGCCTCAAGAAAATGATTTACAAATATGAAAAAGTTGCGAAGTGTCCCTGTAACTTGTAAATATTTTTCAGGACAAATAAGTTTATATCATTTATCGGAATTTAGCCAAATAGCAAGATATTAGTTCTGGTCTCTATCGCTCAGCCCTACATCCTGCAAACGTTCTCTGGTGTTGATGTTTAAAAAATAAAACACTGGGTGGTGTCTCATTTCCCAACAATCTTGTTTTTATTTAGCCAAAAAGAATCCCAAACTCCAGATTAACTAAAGTAACAAACGTAAAAAAATCTTGAAGGTTTCTTTTAATCATTACTTTCAATAAAAGCTTGTTTCATGTTCTTATAAGTATTCATCTGCACCCTTTTAAGTTAAATACAATTGCTTCATATTTCAATTTATTTGCAGTACCAGAGAGGCGACCTTGTAACATAACCTCATTATAAGCTGTTGCAAAAGCTGCATTTCCCTTTTCCTTGCATCACAGTCACTCTTTTCAGAACTGTCACCTATACGGGTTTTCAGCTGTAGCTCAGAGTTGTCAGGATTCGCCTCTGTCAGCAAGGACATGACGTCAAGCGACTTAATTGGGCTTCTTTTTGTGCGTAGGTACCCTGACATGCCCTGCGCTGCTGACGTTGTGAATACCTTAGATCAACAAGCTCTTGCATCTATCCTCACCGCATACGGGGAAGAAAGGCACGCCAGGAAAATAGCTTCAGCCATCGTGGAGGCACGCCGTGTCAGCCCCATCACTCGGACACAGCAGCTGGCCGCCGTGGTCGCAGGTAGCCAGACACACCGCCCAGATGAGTTCCCCCAAACGTCCTGGAGGCGGGCAGGGGAAAACAAAACACAAGTTATCACGGCTGTCTCCCAGAGGGACACGTGTGTCTCCAACATGATCCCAGTGATGTCAGTCATAATGCTTTCAGGTTTAGGTGCTTTATTCCACACCTTCCCTCAGAGAAAGGAGGATGAGACAGAGGTGGATGTGGCTGGAACAGAATAAAACATTGTCTCACCTGCACTAGTCCATCTCTCTTTTCTCCCCTCTTTTTTTTCCCCTCTTCTTGCTCACAAACACCCAACACACATGCAAACACCCACCTATTCTCACACAGTTGATACACCCGTGCATAGGCAGGGGTGAGTTATTTATCCTGGCTGATTGTTTTACATTGTCGTGTCTTCTTCTTTAGTCGTATGACTCTAGATTAGAAATTTCGTTGCAACACAAATTGAACAGAGCGGCGTATGCGTCAGCGTCGCTCTGGGAGAACAGGTGTGAGTAAGAGCAGCTGTTTGATCTCTTCTCAAGAGCAAGGTGAGTTAACACCGGTGTTTATTTGCGACAGTTCAAGGCATCTTGATTCAGGAGAGTTCCAGAGGGAGCCGTGGGATCAGATCGGGACAGCATCACAGGACGAGTGACGGGGGCGTGTCTGGGCGGTGTCATGGTGTGAACACAAGGTCTCCGGGAGGTCATCCTTTCCCTCTCAGTTGGTTTTCTTTAATAGTTTGTGTTTTGTTGCATGTTGCATGGGAGTTTTGGGGGGGGGGAAAGATCAAATAAAGCAGTCGATACGTTTCTGCTGTTTAAAGTTCCCCTGTTCTGACGAGTGAGATTCTGACTTGGACTGATGAGTGTGATGGTACAAAGGGATGATTGTTGAACTTGGTGTTTTGCTGTGTTTGTGGGGTGATCGTGTACCCGTAACAGGGAAGAACCACCTTTTTAGTCCCTTTTTAAACAGAATAATAGGGCAAGCTTCTTTGATTTACCTTGAGGAGTTTAGAATAATTTATAGAGTCAAACAAAAGCTAAATGTGCTGCATGGTGGCACAGTGGTTAGAACTGTTGCCTCGCAGCACAAAGGTTGCAGGTTCGAAACTCGGCTGCAGCCTTTCTGTGTGGAGTTGCATGTGTTCTCCCCATGTATGTGTGGGTTTCCTCCGGGTACTCCGGTTTCCCCCACAGATCACAACATGCCCTATAGGTTATGAACTGTAAGTCGCTTTTGATTAAAGCGTCTGCCAAATGAATAAACATAAACATAAAAGGAAAATGACACAATTTTTTATTTTGATGGAATAAATGAGTTCCTGGATGAGGCTCTGGATGTTGTGGGGTTGTGTTGGCTGACGCGGCTCTGCAATATCGCATAGATATCGGAGGCAGTTCCACCAGATTGGCAGACCGAGGTGGTGGTCCTCCTGTTTAAAACGGGGGACAGCAGGATGTGTTTTAACTACAGGGGGATCACACTTCTGATTCTTCCCTGGTAAAGTCTATCCTGAAGAGGAGGGTCTGACAGATTGTCGAACCTCGGATTCAGGAGGAGCAATGTGGACCAGCTCTGTACCCCCTAGAAGGGTCCTGGAGAGTGTGTGGGAGTGTGCCCAACCAGTCTACATGTGTTTTGTGGATTTGGAGAAGGCATTTGACCGCATCCTTTGGGGGGCCCTGTGGGGGGTATTCCAGAAGTATGGGGTACCAGGCCTTCTGATACGGGCTGTTTGGTCCCTGTATGACTGAGCCTCCAGCTTAGGCTACTGCCCCCGCGACCCGACCCCGGATAAGCGCCCGAAAATGGATGGATGAAAATGTGTCAAGACTTTTTGGCACCTTATTTTTTTTTCAAATGTTTATTTGAGCAGAATAAAATAAAAGATAACAACTATAATATTTTTAGGATTAGTTTCTGGGCTTTTTTCCAGTTTTCCAGGAGCACTGCTCAGCCTGAAACAGCTCTGTGTAGAGCATGGTTTGAATCAGCCCATCTAGTGCCCCTCATAAGCGCAGGGGGAGGAATGGGGGACTTGCGTGGTGAGGGCTGTGTGCGATATTTACTCATGACAAAATAACATGAGGCGATCAGTAAACAGTGTAACGTAACTTGTATGCTCCACAGAAACACACCTCAGCACAAATATTGTGGTGTTGCTGGACATTTTGCTCAGTTTTCTGGCTTATTGTCAGACTGAACCAGCAAACGGCTGCAGGCAATGAAACAGAAGACAGAGCAACTAGTGGCTCCACCTTCTAGCCAATCAGCGGCCAGAATCACAATGCCGATTGGATTCTGTCTTGCCAGGCACCTCAACCGAGCAGAGACTAAAAATTGGGGAGAAAGTAGAGGGAAAATAACGAACCGTGCTCTTGGAGACTGTGTTTGGGTTGAGCTGCATCAGTTCGAGTTACTCTTGAGTAGTGATCTTGAAAAACCAGCTTAATACTTGATTGTATTTTTTAAAATCAGTCATGAAATCTAAAAATAATTTTATGAAATGAATAACTCCCCAGGACAGGTCTTACTCAAAAAACAGGAATTTGGTGCAAACATTTATTTAATTCAGTAATCCAACTTAGACTGAGAGACCATTTAAAGGCACAGGTTTTGGATTCGTTAGCTGTTTAGAGTGTGACACTGTGAGTCTAGACTAGAATATTGACCCTTTTCAAAATATTCTAGTTGTTTAAATGTGGGGGGCTTCATAAGCTGTAAGCCATAATCTTCACAATTATGACAAATAAAAACTTTGCTTTACATGGAATGAGCCAATCTCATGTATTAGTTTCACCTTTGAAGTAGAATTACATTTGCACCATATTCTCATATTTATTGTTTCACCTGTAATATATTGCTGGGTTGCTGTAAGGCACACAAAATCGTGCTTCGTTGCTAGGGAACAACTTAGCAGTAATGAGCAATAAATCAGGGACTAAAGAAGAAGAAGAAGAAGAAGAAAATATAATTTCTATGGCGCCTCTCAAGATGAAAATCACGAGGCGCTTCACAAAAACAAAAAATGTAAAAATATAAAAAGGAATTTAGAAAACTGTTAAAAATATATTTAAAATGAGCAACAAATAGACAATTGTGATTAAAAGATGTTTAGAAAGAGAGAGAGTGAACAGGAAAGAGGGAAATCAGTGGATCCGGAGGACAGTGGAATAGGTGGGGAGAGCAGAATAAAGAGAGGGTGATGAAGGTCACACCAAAGCCAGCCTGAACAGGTGTTTTCTGCTGCTTTTTAAAGGAGACCACTGAGTCCACTGATCTCAGGCCCAGGGGGAGAGAGTTCCAGAGTCTGGGGGCCACAGCAGCAAATGATCTGTCACCTTTGGTCTTTAGCCTGGTGCTGCACAACCAGTAGGCTTTGATCACTGGACCTCAGGGACCTGCTGGGGGTGTGGGGACAAAGAAGATCACCAATGTAAGATGGTGCTTGTCCATGTAAGGCTCTATAGACCAGAACCAGGATCTTGAAATGAACCCTGAAGTTGACTGGCAGCCAGTGAAGCTGGAGGAGAAGCGGGGTGATGTGGGTGTATTTGGAGGACTTGGTCAGAAGCCGAGCACAGGCGTTCTGAACCATCTGTAGACGGTTCAGGGAGGTTCTGCTCAGACACGTGAAAAGAGAGTTACAGTAGTCTAAGTGTGAGGAGATGAAGGTGTGGAGAACTGTCTCAAGTTCAGAGCGGGACAGAATGGGACTCAGCTTAGCAATGTTCCTGAGATGGAAGAAGGAAGAGCGAACAAGAGAACTAATGGGTAGTTAACCAGTACTTACTGGTAAAAACACCCACCAGTCTTACTCTGTGACTAATAGGTAGTTATCCAAGAAGCAGAGGAGGAAAGAATCCTCACTTAGTACTCAACCATTACCTACTACTTTTTCATCATCCAATCTTGACAAAGGCGTTAATGGGCATTGAAACATGTAAGCAAAGGTAAAATCAAGGTCTGTTTGCTCTGTCTATGATAAAAGACCACAAAAAATGAATACAGTTCTTCAAACCAGGTGTAGTTTGCATTCTCTGATGTGTAAACATGGATTGCCGTGAAGCGTTACTGCTTCATGCAATATATGTGACTTCAGGGGTGTGGTCTGGGTACTCTGAAGTTGCAAGTGTGGTATCCTGGCCACAAGGGGCAGATAGGGCTGAGTGACTTTTCATTAACCCTGTAAAGAGCCATTTTAGCACTTACTGTTTCAAGAAAATGATTTAAAATATGAAAAATTGCATTGTTTCCCTTTAACAAACACAAAGATTTTGTGCAGTTTGAACAGAAAAACTTGCATTATGTTTTCCTAACTGCTGACACAGGACAAACAATCATGCACACACACACACACACACACACCTAAAGACAATTTAGACAGACCAATTAACCTAACAGTCATGTTTTTGGACTGTGGGAGGAAGCCGGAGTACCCGGAGAAAACCCACGCATGCACAGGGAGAACATGCAAACTCCATGCAGAAAGATCCCAGGCCGGGAAGCGAACCCAGGACCTTCTTGCTGCAAGGCAACAGCTCTAACCACTGCGTCACTGCGCAGCCACAGTTTCAAACCAGATAGATTAAAAAGAAAAACATGAAAGACTGCATCACTGAGGTAAAATAAGCAATCTGCAGAAAGCAGCATTTAACTGACAGGCCTAAATGATCCTCTTCTCAGGTGGTTTGTCTTCAGAAATCTTCAAGTTGAGTTCAGCTAATAATTTTAGCTGTGTTGGGGCATAAATGTTCTTTTTCAGGGTATGATAAAGTCCAGACAGAGCTTTGCGAGGTTTGTTCTCTAGTTATGTTACACAGTGTTGTGGTTCAGCCGTAGCTACCTGGTTTCTTTATTCTGTAATCCCTTCTTCCCTCCACGGACCTGCTTGCAGGACCTTTGAAAGGTGAATTAGGAGGAGAGCACATGGTTTGGGGAGGCCAGTCCAGAACTGGTCCTCGCTGTGCAGGCTTTCTATTGATTGCAGAGTGAGTCACACT